GCTCATTATGTCACCTTGGATGGAGTAGTATAATCAGTAATAACAGTAGCTTCAAACATAGCCTGGAAAATGACAAACTTATAACAGTTAATTTGTCACCTTTAACCATATGAACTGTATTTGTGGTTATATAATAAAATGTAAATCTGACCAGAGGTCAGGCGTTGTGATGCATGCCTCAATCCTAGCACTTGGGAGGCTGAGGCAAGAGGATCATTGCAAGTTTCAGACCAGCCTGTGCTACAAAGTGAGCTCAAGCCCAGACTGAACTGTCTAGTGAGACTGTCTGAAAAAGACAGAAACAAAATTAAAATAACAACAACAACAAAACCGACCCAAAAATTTTATATAGTGAAACTGCCCTCAGTATGGTGCATTTACTCATGAGGAGAAAATTTTAAAGGGTTTGGATAGGAAAAATTGAGAAAAAGGAGAAGAGGAAGGTATTAGAAGCTGGGCAGGAGGACAAAGGAAGGTTATGAGAACTTAGGGAAACTAGAAAAGGCAGGATCAAAAGAGAAGGAACAAATAAAAGCAAGAACAGAACAACAATAAAAAGACTAGAAATAATTTGTATTCATGTAACAAGCAAGAAAAAGTGAAGCAAAGCAGAAAACAAAAAAAAAAAGAAGAAGAAAGAAAGAAAAGAGAGACAGAGACAGAGAGAGAGAGAGAGAAAGAATTCCTCGCTAGGCTGTGTCTCTGCTGTCATTGGTAAAGAGGGCAGACAGAGTCCAAATCCATTTTATGAGTCCCAGTGAGCCAGCTGAGCAATACTGGATAATCTGTGGTGTAATTGTGGATAATCCTCATAAACCTGCACCTTAGTTCCCCTGAAGTTAAATTGGCTCTTTGGCTGTGAAGCTAGAACCCAATTTGTTCAGCCTGCAACAAGCCGTGTACCTCCTGCTGGCTTCAGTTTAGCTCCTTGATGGCCTATTGACTTGATCTTGGTTTCATCTTACCTTGTCACTGGGAGCTATAGGGAGTCAACCAAGCTCAGCTGACCTCTCTCCAAGATGGCAGCTGGCCAGTTGCCCTCTATGACGAAATATCTGAACCTGAATAACTAACTCACCAACCTCTACAGTCTGTCGCATCCCCTGCTCTGTTAAACTAGTGCGTTTCTTCATGGAGGCTGATGGGTCACTGGTAGTCACCATCCAGCTGCAAGTTTGAGCCACTCCTTTTTCTCTGTGACTCAGGCTTAGGGAGAAAACGCTGCTTTCTACCTCCTTTTTCTGAATTGAGGTCTCTCTTTGCTCTTCCCCAGGCTTCAATGATGGGGGATAAATACCATTTGTTCCATTAGCAAGAGTCCCTTGTTAATGGAAAAACTACATGCTTTTTCAGAATCTAAGGGTGAATGGAATGACACTGGGTGGAAAAGGCAGGATTTTCTTCACCTAGAAAATCGAGGAGTCTCATGGAAGATACATCATTAAATAAGACAAAAGCACTTTGAAACTTTTAATTATTTACATTTGGAAGTTGTTTACTCTTTAGGACCAAAATGAAATTTTTCTTTAAAAATCTTTATTTAAAATTTAAAACTACATATATATGATATTCAGCAATGCTGTTTTAGTGCATATATGCTTCAGAAAGACTAACTCTAGGTAATGACATTTGCATTACTTTATATAGTTATCTTTTTGTAGCTAGTTCATTTAAATTCTTTTATTTTAGCAAGTTTCGATTATACAGTATGTTATTATTATCTGTAGGTAGTATATTTTATAATGGATCTCTTAAACTTTTTCCTTTTATCTAACTTTAATTTTGTGATTTTGACCAACATCTTCACAATTCCCTGAACCCTCAGCCTCTCCTAACCACTATTATGCTCTTTAATTTTGAGTAATGCCAGGTATGATGGTGCACCACTGTAATCCCAGCACTTCGGAGTCTGAGGTAGGAGGATTTCTGTGAATTCAAGACCAGCCTGAGCTACAAAGTAAGCTCAAGGCCATCTTGAATGACATAGTGAGACCCTGTCTCAAAAAGACAAAAAATCTTAAAAAAAAATAAAATGATTTTGAGTATAGTCTTTTCTGATCCCACTTGTAAGTTAATTTTTTAAAATTCCTCAGATTCTTTTTTTTTTTAGATTCCTCAGATTTTTTTACCTGACTTAGGTTACTTACCATAACTTTCTCTAGGTTTGGGTACATTGTTGCAAATACGACACTTCCTTCTTTTTAAAGACTGGTATTCCATTATATTATGTACCACATTTTCCTTATGCATCCATTATTAGTGGAAACTTAGGTTGGTTCCAACTCTTGGGTGTTGTACATCATGTTGCAATGAATATGAGATTTGAGATCTCTCTTAACGTACTGATTCCTTTTTTTTTTGTTGTCTTTTTTTGTGTTTTTCCTTTCTATCGGCACCGGGGATCGAACTCACGACTGCCTGCTTGCAAGGCAGGACCTTATGCTGCTGAGCTAAATCCCCAGCCCCCAACGTACTGATTACTTTTCCTTTGGCATGTACCAAGAATTAGGATTGCTGGGTAACACATATGTTATCTTTCTGTTTCTGGGAGAAAATATTGAGATAAACGATCTATGAGGTAGAAGGATTATTTTGGCTTATGGTTTCAGAGATTTCGGTCCATGGTTGCTTGGTCCTACAGCCTGAGTCTTATAGTGAGGAGTACATCATGCTGGGAGGCCCTGGTAGAGGATGCTGTTCACTTTAGAGTGGCTGAGAAACAGAGAAAGAGAAGGGGCTGGGGTCCCATTCCCAACTGCAAGGGCGTGTCTTCAAGGGCCTACGTCTCTCCCACTAGGTCCAAGGTCTTAAAGATTCTACTGCTTTCCGATAGTGCCAATGGTTGGTGGCCAAGTCTTTTACCACATGGACTTCAAAATCCAGACTATAGCAGTATGGTAGTCCTATTTTTGATTTTTAAAAGAACCTTCATATTGGCAAATTATTACATTTCCATCAGCAGTCTACCTGGGTTACCTTTTCTCCACACCCTTGTGACACATATGATCTTTTATAGTTTTAATAGGTGTGAAATAATAGTCTGGTTGTGGTTTTAATTTGCATTTTTCTGATGATTAATTGTGTTGTCGATTTTCAAAATACATCTGTTGGTAATTTGTATGTGTTCTTTTGAGAAATCCTGTTTAGATCATTTGCCTATTTTAAAATCATTATTCGTTTTGTTTTTTGCTATTTGTATAGTTTGAAATTTTTATGTATTTTGGATATTAACTTTTTATCAGATGTATAATTTTTGAATCTTTTCTCCCATTGAAAGTGTATTTTTCCTTCATTTCTCTATTTATAACTTAATATATGTAGGAATGACCCAAACACCAGCCATCCCTTAGTGAGTTCTATATGACACTTGGAGGTGGGTATTGTTACACCATTCTACAGATTGCAAAACTAAGATTTAACCACGATTTACTTTTATACCCTAGTATGACTCCAAAGACTTCTTTTAAGTTTAAGTTTTTAGTCAGTTTTACATATACAGAGTTTAAATATGTAGTTCCTTGTAATATTTACAATAAAATTTAAATTTTTCTACAGATAAAGCCCATCTTTGTAATATGTTACTTATAATTCTAATGCTCATCTCTGCCTTATTTCATTATGAAGAATATTAACAGAATCTGTATGTACTCACTCTACTCTTTTTTTTAAAAAATCTCTTACTTAGATGGCTAATTTACTTTGCACTGTGCAAGCAATGACGTTATTGCACAGGAGCTTCAAAGGGGGAAATAACTGGCCTGAAAAACTTGCTGTGAGTTAGGGATGGCTGGGTGGGAAGGCGACAGTGAAAGCGGACTGTTGTATGGTACCTCTATTGCGCGTATAGAACTTCAGAATTTAGTTTGTCTCCTGGGAAAAGGCCAGGTGTTTCATACTCCTTTTTCACATTTTCTTCATGAGTACGTGTACAACTTCAGTCATTAGTCCTGGATAGACAGGTGATACCTGCTGAAAGAACTAAAATTGCTGTGACTTTTCTGTGTGCAAAACACAGGCTCTGAAAGCCCAGTGCACTCTGCTCCACGTGCTGTGGGACCAATCACACCATCCTGCAAAATCAGGATTTTTCCACCTAGTTCTTGCCCCCTTGCTTTTATCACGTTCAGCGTAAATTACAAGCCCTTTTGGTCAACCCTGCTAAGCAGACTAAGGTAATTATGTCAGGTCAAAGTCTCCTCTGTGTTTGTTCAAAAACTGTAGAAAGTGACCCGGAGGTTCAGCTTATATCACGTAAATTCCAAATCAGCAAATGATTCCTGCCCAAAGTACATGCAGTAAGGAAGTAAACGAGAAGATGCTTTTGCTTAGATGCTCTTCAGGTCCCTGGGTTCCTAGCTAGGGATATAAAACTGCAGTATGAGAAAACCAGCAGTTAGAAGAGAATTAAAACCATATTGATGGAAACCAGCACCATGACACACTTACAAAGAGCGCTGTCGTGTGAACCAGGTCTTCTCAACCTGCATTCTCTCCTAAATGATCTTTCTCAGTAATATGGTTGCAACTCCCAGGCTGTGACACTTAGTGATGAATGAAAATATGTTTTTAATATGTATTTTTTTCTTTTTCTGAAAATAAAGTCAACAGATTATTGCTTCAGTGATTCTTTTCCATGATGAAAACAAAAATATATAGGGACTATGGCTATTCAAGGAAAAGATAAATGTTTGTGTTGAACTGAAGTTAGGAAAATCTGTGGTTTGACAGGTAGTGTGTGATATTTTTATTAGTTTCTCCCATACTCATGAATTGCAGGAATAGCAATGTAGCCATTATAATGTATAACTGGAGATTTCTGGTGAATATAATGTCACCAACTAACATTGATAGCACCAACACCAAATCAATGTTTCCCAAATATTATTTATTTGGTATTTTAATCTGTGTTTTGAATACTGAAATGGACAATTTTAGCTTCTTTATGAAATTGAACATCATTTTAGAAAAGAATTCATCACAAAATGATACACAACTAGGGATCAATAGGAAGAACTATCTTTATTCATCACTATGATAAAGATAATTAAAATGAATTAATTAAAATGATAAATATAATTAACAAAATGAAGTATTCACAGTTGCTCTATATATTTGTGAAGTGTTTATTTCTACCAAAATATCCTTTCTAGGCTTCTTAATATAATTTTTGTAGTTCAGGACTTTAAGGATGAATTTAGGAATTCAGAGATACCTTTTACTTATATTATTTTGATTTTTAAAACCCTGTTCTAGGTCTGTTTGAAGAGTTTTTCTTTTTTAATATACAAATAGTAGTACCTAAAATAATACTAACAACTACAATAGTCCCTACTACTGACAAGACCAGAATAGAAATATTAACTCCAGAATGATAATTTTTATCAGGACTAGGATTAGAACCACTTTCATCAGGACCAGGATCTGCTACAGGGATAAACAAAGCCAGTTGAGCAATGTTGGACACTTTTGATGTCAGATTGCTTTTGTCTACACTTTGAATGGCAATGAAGATGTGGGTCGCATTTTCTTCTGAGATATTTCCTGGCTTCAATATGAAGGTTTCCTTGGATTTGAACTCCTTTGGTACCAGGTCAGTCGTGTTAACTTGAAGAGCATCATCAAAATTGTCTCTCAGGTCAATCATGCTTCCACTTATCCTTATGATGTATCGTTCAACTAAGAAAAAATTACATCCAGTTCAGTAACTGTAGAATGTTGTATTAAATTTCTTTCCATTTATTCTTGAAGATATTCTTTAGTTATACAAAGTATACCGTTGGGCTGGGGATATAACTCAGCAGTGCAGCACTTGCCTGGAAAGTGTGAGGTCCTGAGTTCAATTTGCAATACACCAAAAACAAAAAAATCCAAAACAAACAAACAAACAAACACCAAACCAAACAAAATAAAAAATCAACCACCCCAAATATATCCTTATTTCAAAGGTCTTAGTGATTTTTACTAAAAGCTACATTTTCATTTTTAAATTCTGCCAAATGCTACTACCTTAGTATGAAAAGAAGGGTCATGGTAAAACGTGTCATGTTTGATTGATAAAAGTTTCTGAAGTTAGCAGTATGCTGAACTGTCAGGTACTATTCTCCCTTAAGTTACTCTTATACCCTTGCTTTAGCAAAGAGCATCTTTAACTACATGAATAAGACACATGACACTTTGTTCTTACCTTTTCCAACATCAAAATCCTTTCCTGGTGCTGTCCATGTTAGAGTGACCTCTTCTCCTTCAGGTGTGGCAGCCAAGTCTGTGATTTGACTGGGTGGGTATAGGTCAGCGACTGCATTATTTTGATATCCTGATACCACAAATGCACCTCCAGATGCTGTTCTGCTGAAATTCTCCAGAATTGTCTCAGTATTCTCATCAGCTTCAGGTCTTGGTGGGTTTCCTTCGATTTCCCCTACATCAAATAGTTTCTGGTTTAAAATGGGCACAACTGAACTGGTGTTTTTTCACAACATGGTGAAACACTTCCCTTATCTCGTTTGACTTTTTTTTTTGCCATACCCACAGAAACATTTGGCTAAGTCTTGTGACACAATATTACTCTTGGGAAACTTCTGATGGGAGACTTCTGTCATTAGTATCCTAAACAAGATGTTATAGAGTAAAAATAGATAACAAATTGCTGTGTCCTGAGCTGAAAGTTGGGTATATCATTGTTGATATCGTCCAGGTATTCCAAAGTAACAGAACACAAATGGCCTGAGTACTCACTAAGGGCCTGACTTCTTTCCAAAGCTGAATTTGGAGGCAATTACCTGAGTATCCCAGTTCAAAAACAGGAAGTTGTGAAATGAAGCCCCCTTTGTCATACCAAATTACAAATATTACTCCAGCCAGCACAGGTTTCAGGTAGCATGTGGCACTCACCATTCACTACCCAGCGTGGTATATATGCAGCTCTGCTCAGCACATTATTTAAGCTTCTCCTGGTAGAGTTTGTTGCTGCGTGAGCTCGCACTTTCAAGCTGTATCTGCCATTTTCCGAATAACCTGTTAAGTACCTGGAATAGACCCCATCATATTTGAAAGCATCAACATCTAGTTGTAGAAATAAAAAAAAACAAATTATTACTGAAAATAAGACAATAAATAGATGCGTTTTCTGAGACAGGCATTGGTCTTAGTAAGTGTATCATCCAGTCTGGAGGAAGTATTTTGGGAACAACATTCTGGAGACTATTTCTGTAATGTTCTGATAAAACAATATATTGATGCCCTTAAGTTATTTTTGTATCTATATACTTCTACCTATATAACACATATACACACACTTTTGTTTCTGCATTGATAATAGTTACATATCACATCTTTCTATCCTTTATCAATCTGTCCTTTCAGTTGGTAACCCCTCTACCATTTCTCGGCCAGTGGTTTGCTTACATTACAAAATTAATCATGCTGTCTAAAAGGTCTTTACTACAAAAAACCCCATCCTTTGGAGGATTTACTTTTTTGGGTCCTCAAGTAAAAGTACTTGTTTTCTCTTATTCAGCAATTCCTTTTTACTTTCCTGCTCTTATTATCCTCATGCATTAACCTTTTAGCCTGACAGAGCAAAACACCATTTACTACTGAAGGAACATTTGGAAGAGCTCAGGACTACCGTGAACTGTGTGTCTAGTGTTAGAATCACCTATTAAATTTCCAAGATTATTTCCAAGCACATTTACCATCTACGTCAGAGGATCTTAAACAAGCAAGGTACAGCACTTAGAGCAGCACTATCTGTATCTCTTAGAACTGGAGAGTTTCAAACATGCTAATTTCTCGCACTATGTATGGAAGAACCTCAGAATTATATTTCATCAAAGCCTCCAGATATTTCTTTTACACACTAAAACAGTAGTGGTGAACATATTGAGTGTGGGTTATTTGTTTTTCTTTTAGGACATTTTAATGTATGGCTTGTTTTTTCTAAACAAAAATGTTTTCAGTGTTTTCCTTCTAAAATAAATAAGTGAGTTTTGGATTGCAGTTCTGGGAATTATCTGTAAAATGTTCATCATCCCTGTACTAAAGTATAAAAATGCCTACTTTAAGCCATTACTAATCACCAAAATCTACTGTAGGGAAAGATATTCCAAATTAAGTAATTTCACAGTTAGACAAGTATTCATATGAAAAATGCCAAGAAATAAAACAACACACAGGAGGTAAGTTTTAGTATTGTGTAACAGTTTTTTCAGACAGGGAAGAGACAGTTGGGGAAAAAGGCCTTAAGGTTCATCAAAGAACAAGTTGTCACCTGCAGGTGAAGATATGGTTAAAACATAACTGAATCAATTGCATTGTTCACTGAATTTTAACAGAAGTTTCAGACTCTGGAGCAAGGTCCACTCACTCACACAGATCTGGAAGACAGGTAAGTCCAGCACTGCTCCTTGTTTCCTGGTATCTAATGCCCCTGTGATGAGCCCTCCTCTTTTGTGGCAGTTCTAGCTGTCGCTAGACCTCAGATCTCTGGCCTGTGTTTGTATTTGTTCCTGATTTTAGAAATTACTTCTGCGTGTCTCCCTTTCCCTGCCAGAGTTCCAGGTTTGGCCTCCCAGCCCCATCTGGTCATGTGGAACATACTTGCTAAGTATGTTTTTGAGATTTTACCCAAAAAAATTTCCTACTGGTCATTGTATTCCTCCATTATCTGTCTGAATTTGTTGAGTTCCTGTGCTACTCTGCAACATTGCAACAGGGATCCAAAACATGCCCTGAATTATAAAATATGAGTTGATTCATAAATGTGTGTGAATGACCTGCACCATTGTCCAGCAGATCCAAAACTGTTGTGCGTCCAGTGTTTGATTCTATGACAGCAGTCACACTGGCTCCAAGAATGGGCACATACCCTTGCTGAACTTCTGCATAAATAATCATGGGGCTAGGGAAGGTGTTTGTATCTTTATTTATTTTAGCACTCACTGTGATTGGAGGCACAGCAGAATTTGCTGCCCGAGAAGTCACTGTAATAGTGAGTGTTTCTGAGCTTGCTTTGGCTTGAAGGTTATAAATCCATGTGAAATGGATTAAATCCACCTGAAATGTTCAATGAAAATATAAGTATTCACAGTCAAATTATAACCTGTGATCTGATTATGCAATTCTAATATATATCATAGATACTTGGAGAAGAATAAACAGATGTTGATGGATTTGTGATTTTGTAAAATTTTCAACTGAGACTGTTTAGGCAGTGCACTCCAACTAGTGACTGCACTGTGTAACATCTGAACTCGAAAAGTATATTTTTGGAAGTTTGTCTTGATTTTGGTCTTATACTTTGACTTCAAGAAAAATCTGCACATCAAGTAGCCCAGACTCTTTCCATACCTCCTCACAGAATTATTTTTTGATTACTTTGTTTTCTTTCCTCTGGTACATGAATTTTTTCTCATTTTCGAAAGAATTACACAATATGGAGAGTACATAGTATTTTGTATTCATTTGACATTTTGTAAGATCATTAGCATTTGCAATTATGACATTAAACAGTTTTCAACTTTGAAAATGCAGAGCAAGTCTATAAGGTGATTACTTACTCACCTGTGCATCTCCTGGTATGCTGAGAGAGGCCATTTGGGAATCAGTGTCCTGAGTGAAATTTTCTGTCAGTGTTCCATTAGGATCCCAGAGAGAAATGCTGGGAGACTGTGTGGTAGGTGACAAGAAAGAAAGTGTCCTTTCTCACAGTGCTGTCAACTGTCACAGTGTCGTTTATCCAGGCACTAGTGTTCAGATTTAATCCCTTACTTTCAAGCTGTTTAAATATATTTAAAAATGAATGAATACAGATAAGACCAATTATATGCTAATGAAGTTTATTATTCTTTTTTCTTTTAATGTTAACTCTCAATTTATGTTCTGAAAACAAGCTTGTATATGTCGGACCATCTTAGACCTTTCCAAAAGCAGATTGGGATGCAACAACTAGAGGGTCCAAGAGAAGACTTTATACAATAAAAGCCAGGAATATTGTTTTCATGAATAGAATATGATTCTTTCAATTTTTCCACGGTTCATAGGGAAATATCCACTATAGTTTTTATATTAATGGAGGTTACAGTAACAAAGAAAGATCAGTTTAAATTCATGATGATTCACTGAATATTTACAGGGAACTAGAGTGTCTGAGTAGTTTAATGATTTAAATCTACATGTGCCTCATATGCATATAGGTGGGGATATTGGGAGGTGGATAGATTATGGGTGTGATATTCATCTCTGGATTATTCCACTGATGAGTTTCTAGCTAAATGTGCTATTGGGACCAGATGGACCAGATGGGCCAGTGGCTTTGTGGCCATGAGCCATGCCAGCTGACTATGGACTGAAATCACCTTCACAAACTGTGAACTAAAACAAACCTTTGCTCCTGAGAATTTTGGGTGTTAAGTATTGTGTCTGAGTAATAAGAACTAAGACAGATTGTGGGGTCACTGCTGTAACAGTGCCTTTCGAACTGACATGCAGGAGGCTTTGAAAGGTTTGGAGATGCTGGCTGAAAAGGAGCCCTAGAATGCTGTGAGCCAGCTTGATGGGAGATTCTGTTCAGAGCTGAGAGGACCAAATTGGTAAGAGACATATACCTGGAAAGATCAAGTTCAAGAGGTTTCATTGCAAAACAAAGATTGCATTGACAATTGGACTCCAGGCCACATGTGCTAATCCCATGTGTGGTGGGATAGTCTTTCTAAATTTTCTGTGGTACTGAGACTTTGTAGGAGACTTAGATTAAGGATGGTGAAGTAATTAATCTGGAAATTCTAAGGCATCCAAATAGTTAGGTTAGGTTTGTGTACTGTTGGGAGGATGTGAGCCAGCTCCACATTGATAATGGAGAGCAAACAGTTTAGCAGAAAATTTTATAACATTTGAGTTTGGCCAGAAAGGAATTCCTGGTAAAATACCTGGCATTGCTTACAAATATGGAATAGGGGAGAACTTGGTTGCTGTGAAAATTAGTACTGAAAGGATGGCAAGTACTTTGGAAGAGGACAATAAGAAACCTGCATGGGGTGAATGTGAGGAATCAGAAAGACCCACCTTCTACTGGCTCAAACATGAATGGGTGAAAAACTTTGAGAAGAGAGCTCCAGGAGAGCTTACTGCAAAATGGCAGCCAGACTAGAAAATGGAAATTCATTCCCTGGGATTCAGTTCACCATGCCTAGCCATCCACAACCACATTAACAGAGATCTCAGGAAACTGGAAAAATCAGCAATGTGAAGCATTTTAGGACAACCACCAAGAATGAGAAAATTGGCCCCAGATAGAAACAATGAGAGTTATAACCAACAGTAGTGCCATAGGGATGGAGTCACCCATGCCCTTGGAGTTTGTATCTCACCAATATTTTCCCAGTGCTAGATATGAAACTACAGGATGGAATGCTTGCCCTTCTGAGCTTCTATCTTGCTTTGGTGCTGTTCCTCCCTTTTCTAATGTGAATGTGACTTTGCATCTTGTAAATTCTTTCTTTTGATTTTCAGGGACTCACAGCTAAGAGCTGGCCTAAATCTCAGAGAAGACTTTGGATTGGGGATTTCAGCTATGACTGTCAAGATTGTGGCTTTGCTTAGAGACGGACTAAATGAATTTTGTATAAAGAGATGAATCCTGAGAGGACCAGACATGCAAAGCAATAGTTTGCATCTAGAAGTTCCACAAAAGCCTCATGTGATCATAGGTTGGACTTTGTGAAGGTGATTGGATCATGAGGTGTGAAATTTATCAGTGAATTATACCACAGATCCGTTTATATTAAATGTGATGTTGGGAAGAAATGGGTCGCTGGGCATGTGGATCGAATACTGTATCTCCTTCATAACTCTCTGTACCACCTGCCATGCTATGAGCTGTTTCTCCTCTGCCATGCTACCCTACTTTGAAGTATGCTGACTATGAAATGAAACTTCTACAAACTGTGACCAAAATAAAACTTTCCTGTTGAGAGCTGTAAGTGTAGGGTATTGTGTGTCAGTGATAAGAAAGTAGCTAAGTCAAATAACACACAATAAGTGCCTCAGATATAAAATTGGAACCAGTGAATAATTGAGACAAACTTTCATGGATATTTTCCTGATGTGGAATTTTGAAATAATATTTCACAAAGGATAGAGAGTGAGGACCTGGGCCACACATGTATTCCAGAAAAGTTCAAATATGGCATCCTAAGAAGAATGAAAAGAGAATTGGGACCTTCTCTGAGAGATTTAAAGAAGTTATTTGAGTTTTTGTTGATAGCACTTAGCATAAAAAAGCCAGCTTTTTTGTTGAATTGCCTTAGTGTTTAAATGACCAAGTTGTATATGTTTCTCACATAGAGCATGATTTGGCTAAATAAAAATCTACTTTCAATCTAATACCCTATATTCTCTTTTTCTACTATTAAATGTCTACTTTAAATATGCTACTTGGAGTTACCACTACCCATTCAAAATTATTAAAGTAAAAACTGAGTTGAAAACAATACTCTCAAAATCAGCTTTTCCAAAAACCCTAGTTATTCCTGATCATCAAGTTCACACAATAATTTCATTATTCTCTCCAACAACTCAGTTGAAAAATCTCAGAAGTTCCCTTCACATTTTACGATTTTTTTTTCCCACTCAGTGCCAGGCTAGATCTGAGATCAATTTTAAACCTTTTACAGAATAAGTCTACAGATCAAATCTTCTAAGCAGTCTGTACAAATACTAAGTCCATCTTTTAGGATTTCTGCTCTCCTTGTTGGAAAGTAAATGAAAATAGGTTTGTTTAGGTGTCATGGCAAGTTTTAAAGTAGCAAAAGACTTGATCAACTGGAAAACAGAAGGCAGAAGTCTTGGCATTTAGAAACTTGACAAAGAGTGAATTGGTAAGAAGAGAAATATTTTAGTAAAACATATTGATAGAAACAGGCAGTGACAACATACACAAAGTATGAAATACTAATCAAAGTTTTAAATTCATAGAGAAACTGGTGATGCTGTTGAGACACAAGTCAGGAAAAAGTTTTACTCAGACAGTTTGAATAAAATAAAAAATCAGTCAGAAAAATTGTTGAAGTGGGAAAAGAAGCCTTAAGCTTACAGAAATGCAATTATTATGTGCCCTACATTTGTGTTTATTTCCAAAATATGTTCTTTCCATTTTCAAACTGGATGCTTGCGTTCATTTGATTAAGTCTATGTCACAGCGGTAAATGTAAGGCAAGCTAGGAAGCTAAAAATTTTTTAAAAAAGGAATTCATAAAAAATGAGTGATATGTCTAGGACAAAATTTAGTTTTGGTGGGAAACTGACATTATTATATTTTAATGCTATTCTTTAAATAAACTTTATGGCAAAATGAAAAAAGTGCTATCCTACTTCTTGATGTATTTACTCTCATTTTAGGACTCAGTTTGATTATATGTAAAGAATTATCCCTACTTCAGATTTTAATTTTAATTAAAATTCCACCTTGAAAAGGTTATAGAAGCAACACAATATTTTTCGTGGTTAAGGTAAATGCAAACACAAACTTCCCTCTGTTGGAGCTCTCACCTAAATGGACTTCTGACTGAGACCAGCATTTTCTGATGTGAGGGCAGCAAAAGCATCAGAGTCCATTGTTCTCAGCGTTATCTGAAGCACAAAAGTGATTCCCTCCTAAAATGTAAATGCACAATGAGGTTAAATTCTAAAAAAATAAGTGCTCACACATTTTAGTGATTATAATGGGAAAAGTTTAATGAAAGACATAGTTTCTACATGTACTATTAAAACAGACCAATGTCAGATAGCTGTAAGATTAATTCTGAAATGCTAATTTAAAATAATGTAACCAGGAAGGAAAAAGATACCATCATGCCTTAGCATCAAATGTCAACTAGATTAAATACACAAATGATCAGATAATGAAGAATATGGTTACAAATCTGTGTATTTAAGTTCAGGATTTTTACACAGTACTTTTGGAGAATTGTTCACTTTATTTAAGATACAGTTCTAATGAAGTTTTTGCTCAGATTTTTTTTTTTTTTTTGTCTTTTTCCTTTTTATCAGTACCGGGGATCGAACTCACAACTGCCTGCTTTCAAGGCAGGTGCTTATGCCGCTGCGCTAAATCCCCAGCCCCTTGTTGCTTAGATTTTACAGACAAATTAAATCAGACACAAAATATTAGTGTTAATCTATATTCCTATGTTATGAAGAACTGTCTGGTTATGTGATTTAATTAGCAGTTTTCTTTTCTTTCCATACAAGTCGGCTCCAAGTACCCTGAGAACAGAGATTGTGTCAGGTTTGACTCTGGTCTCCTGTCCCTGGCACAGCACCCTCAGAGCAGAAGCTCAAGAGAAGGTGCACAGCTGTCAGCCCAGACAGTATCACAGTCCTATCCGAAGCCCGGAATGTATAGAAAACATTTTAACCTGTTTCAATGCTCATCTGTGTGATTACTGGCTCTGCAGATTGTCCCAGAGCAATAAAATGAATGATGACCCCGCTTTCTTTCACTTCATTAACACAACCGCTCGCCGTGTGGTCTTCCCCATCAGTCAGCAGCAGTATTTCAGACCCACTCAACTGGAAGCTTGCATTTGTAATCACCTGCAAACGTATTTCAGGCACATTAACCGCTGTAGATCAAACAGATCAATGGAAGTAGACAAATATTAAGAAAATAAAGAAAAATATGTAGAGTAGAAGAGAATCTTTGGTTTAAAGTCAGAATCTACAATCAATATCTGAGTTATTTTTTTTTTTTCTTTTTATTTGGACTGGATGTTGAACCAGGGTCACTGCACTGAAATATATCCAAGGCCCATCTTGCCCTTTAATTTGGGACAAGATTCCTCGAAGACACTTCAGTTTGGCTCAACTTGTGCTGTGTCTGACTCAGCCTCCCAGAGTGCTGGGATTACAGGCACCTACTAACCTATCATGTTGTCCTAGCGAATCTGAGACATGAACGCTGCCCCCTGTTGCAGTATTTATCCAAATGAACATTGGAGGGAGGAGGGCTTTGGGAAATGCTGCTTGCATTAAACAAGGGCTCCATCGCAGCCCAGGAAACTCAAATCGTTCAGATACCCAAAAAAGACTTTTTAAAAATTTTCTTTAACTTGTTTATCCTTTTAGAAGCCTTTAGTATATAAAGTCTATGGTCTGTATAGTTTAATTCATTAACGATCCACCTTAAAAGAAAATGTCATTGATTCCAAGTTAGAAAATTTCTAGCATGCTTATAAATAAAAAATAAGTTCAGTTCTAAACATGGTGAGGTTTGAGATTTATTGGATAGCTATTAATTTACTTCTAGTAGAGGTTTTCATCAAAGTAGGCATGTTAGTGTTGATCAAAGACCAAACGAGAAATGTTTCTTGGGGTCTCTTTGTAGCTTCAACCTTTACTTATAATAGTGCCACATTTTTAAAGTCAGAGTTCTGAATCTAGCTGCCCAAAGAGGGGAGAAAAGTGATTTAAGTTGAAATTGCAATATATTTATTTTCTCTGCTTTAATTGGTAATGGCTTCCTTGAACACCATTTTAAGACAGTAATTCTAGGCCAAAAGAGAAAAATATCAGATAACTAGCAAATTTCTTGGACTTGGGAGAAGAGGTACGTGTAGATTTGGGTAAGAGGGTTTGAGATATAGAAATCCCTAATGAAACTGGAATCAGAGAAAAAATCCACTACCCTCACTAGAAATTTTGCATGCTCTGAGACAACGTGACCCATATATGAAAAACATACTTTGAACTAAACTGAAATATACATAAATGCTTTTAAACATTTATGGCATTAACAGAGCATGTCCCTCACACTTCTGATACAAATCTGAGTGCAAAATGAAAATCTGGGCGCGATGTTGTGCTGTCTATCTTCACCTCTCACTTTCTCGTGTGAGTTTTTTTCACTCAGAACCTACAGTGTGTCAGTTACTGTGGTGGGAACTGCATCGTTTCTCCAGTCACCTAAAGAACTGAATTTAATTTAACATTTACCATGATTTGTGTAAGAGACTGAGTGACACATGAGAAACAAAGGCACAGTTCACATGTACAGCAAAGAAGAGTGTAATCAAGATAAATTTAAATAATTATAGTGTTATCATTTTCTTAACATGATGATTTTCACCTCAAATGCTTTTGAAATTCCAGTGTAGGTGGAAGTTCCTCTGAGAGCTTGTGTAGGCAAGCTCTTCACCAGGGTGTCTTTTTCGCTGTTGCCTGTTATTTGTATTAATGTACTTTTAATGCTTGCAGTACTGTCAAAGTGAACCATTCCTACCCAGGATCCATTTTCCACAGTCTGCATCAAGAACAGTTTTGCTGCTTAATTCATTCGAATGAGGCGGCTATCAAAAAGCAAAAGAAAACAACCAAGTAGTTTTCAACTGGAAGATAATAGCATCACACATAATGAGTATATACATTTACCAATAAGAATTTTTCAATAATAACTACTATGACTGATAAAAATTGTTCTCTTTTTTCAACTGATAATGTTGAAAAATATGACTGTGTATTATGGGACACGCATGGTTTAGTAAGGAGTTTATATTTTTAAACTAGAGATGATTACTGGCTGCTAAATACTGCAGTTAGAGATTGAAGGAAGATGGAGATTGAGTTAAAAATGTGCATGATGATTCACCAGGTGGAGATGCTTCAGTGACACTGTTAGCCTATATGCCATCTACCTCAGATAAAGTCACCAATGTTCACCATGAATCAAGAATATTTTAGAGTTCATCAGAGTTGAACTTGCTTCATTCACTGAGGACTACTTTTCCCCAAGTGGAAAACTTTCCTGAGCTGAGATTAAATTCTGAGAACCCCATTCCCTACCCTGGCCTTTGTTTTCTCCTCTTAACTCTTCCCCCACAATTTTATTCACCAGCGATTTGATTGGAATTGCACTTTCGTAACCTGTAAAGATTCACGCCACCAACCTCACCTATTTCTGAGTGGCAGAAAACCTGAAAGAATTTCTTCTAAAATCAGGTATGAGAGAAGAATATTTATTCTCATTCTCCTGTTCAGTAGGTACATGAAATTTTATCTAGAACACTAGGCAAGAGAAAAAAATAACAGGGATTCAAATAGGATAGGAAAAAAACGCATTATTGCTATTTGTAAATGGCATGATCCTATATTCAGAAGTTCCAAAAGATTTCACTGATGATTTTTCAGATCTGCTAAATACATTCAACAACAATAGGAGGTAAAAAATCAACACAAAAATTAATACCTTTTCTATATACCAATCATAAAATAACTGAGAAAGTACTCAGGAACACTATTCTATTCCATAACTTGCAACATATTTACCTAAGAATCAACCTAACCAAGGAGTTGGAACTCTTCCACCATGAAAATTGAAAAAAGACAAGAAATAAGGAAGAGAGACATTAACAGTTGGACAGACCTTCCATGTTTATGAGTTGACAGAATTAATATTGCTGACATGGCCATATCACCAATAGTGAGGTATACATTTAACGTAATCTCCATCAAAATACCAATGTCATTCTTCACAGAACTAAGAGAAACAATCCTGAATTCATATGAAAACACAAAAAAGAAAGAAAAGCCAATGCAATGGTCAGCAAAAAGAATAAGCCTGGAGTCATTACAACACCTAATTTCAAATTATATTACGAAGGTATATTAAAAAACACTGTGCTTCTGGCACAAAGACAGACAGGTGGACAATAGAATAGAAAACAGGACTCAGAAACATGTTCATATGACTGCCACCTGGGTTTGCCAAAGAGGCCAAAAACTATATTGGATAAAAGGCAGCTCCTTCAACACACGGTGCCCAGAAAATTGCATATTCCTGTGGAGAATTTTAAATTATGTCATTATCTCTCACCTGGTTTAAAAATCAATTCCTAATGGATCAAAGACCTATGTATAAGTTCTTGCAATTTTGAAACATTTAGAGGAAACATATTGGAAATACTTGAAGCCCTAATTACGGGAAAGAACTTTCCAAATTGGACTCCAATAGCACAAGAAAGGATAGCAAGAATGGACAAACGGGATTATGTCAAATTAAAGTTTCTGCAGATCAAGGAAAACAATCAACATCATTAAACCATCTATAATATGGCACAAAAATCTTTTCTAGCTACTCTGCTGACAGAGCATTAATGTTTAGCACAGATAAGTTACTCTAAAAGCCTAATACCAAAAATCTAAGTAGCCCAATCCATAAATGGGAAGGGAATTGAAGAGATGCTTACTTCTCAAAAGAAGAAATATAAGTGGATGATAAGCACACGAAGAGATGTTCAGGTCTTTAGGTAAATGCGTACCAATCTACATGAAAATTTTAGCTCCACTCAGTGAATGTTATGTTTGATATTATTGTGTGTGAAGATAAGGTCAACTATTTTGAAGAAATTATGGTAGCCACTATTGATATCCTGTTTCTTTGTTGTGAAGACCTGTGTTGCTTGCATTGCTTTGTTCTTATTTGCTTTATTCTGTTCTGTTTTTTTATTCTCTTTAAAATAATAGAAGAATAAACAACAAACCAATGCATGTACAGATGGAGCAGGGAAAGGAATCCTTTTACACTCTGGTGTGGAATGTGAATTTGTATTTTCACTATGAAATTAAGTATGGAATTTCTTTTAAAAACTAAAAGTAGAACTACTATTCCATATAACTATAACACTCCTGGTTAGATGCTAGAAGGCATTAAAGTCAGCATACCACAGTGATACCTAAATACTCATATTTTTGCAGCATAATTTGCAACGGTCATGATATGGAACCTGGTTAAGTGACTAAGTGAATGAATAGATGAGAAAGTATGGTATGTGTACATAGTGGACTGAACTCAAGCACGAAGAAGAATGAAATTATGTATTCCTTGTCTTCAATTTGTGTAAAGATTTCCTGTACTTTTTTTTTGTATGGATTCTCTGGGTGACTAAAATAATTCTATAAATTATATATCTTGTATTAAATTATTTTCCTTCAAAACCCTGGCTATCATAGTATATTTACATAGATTATCTAGTGCAAAAAATTGCAAAATGTAGAAACTCCTCAATTCACATTTGATTGGGAATGAGCTTTGATATAGAAGATCACTTCTTTAGTTCCCACAAAACTGGTATGTAGAAGAGATAGGATTATAACCTGAGGTCTCTGTATCCAAAGTCTTCTCACTTAATCTGGGTCAGATCTGCTTGATAAAAATTAGATATTTGACAAAATTTCCTACCTAATGGTCCATATTCATTTTCTTTTTTGCCCAGTACAAAGTCAGGGGTGAAATGAATATATTCTGCTTTTTCTCCACCTTCTGTGAACTGCCTTGTATAAGGTTCATCTCTGTCAGGGAGGCTCGGTGGTGCAACTATCACATCAGCCTGAGAGTGTTGGAAAAGGTTGTTAAGCATTGGGAACATGAATGAAAATATTTAGTTAAAATATATCTGAAACAATAAATCTTGCAAAGGTGGGAGCATCAGAAAATTTCCTTTTTTGCTAGAGAAGATTTTGGCACTTACATGTTTGTAGCTCTCATGTTCTGGCCTCCTGTATTCAGGATTTGCTGCGCAAGTCTCAGGAATCAATATAGACACAGTTTTGAAAAAAAAATCTTTTTTCTGTGGCTTCCAAGAGATAAGTAGATGCTGTGGTCACCATGTCCTGTTATCAAAGGGAAAAAGTATGTGAAAACAACCAAGTGAGAGTGGAATAAGAGAGGAGTGGTTCTTTTCGGGAATTTTCTGTTTCATTTTTAATTCAAAAGCAACTGATAATGTGCAGTTTGCCCACTGTTCTAGCTCAGTCCTGAGCTACTACTTCATCCTGCATCATGAATTGCTTATCAATCTTCTTGCCCCTTACTTCTAAAAGCAACAGTCTATGCCTGGTTTTTGGAGAAGCTGATTAATACAAACACATATATGAACTGTGAAGTCATTTCCTTGTTTCCCAGGGTGCTGTTAGCACTTTCCGGGTAACAAATCTTACTTGATTCTTGTATTGCTCTGAAATTCAGTTTCTTTATGTCTCCATGGATCATTGCTGCAATATTTGATTTTATGTTTGGCATAAAGAAAGAATGTGGTCTGCACATCAGTAGTCCTAACACTGATATCATTTCTGATAGAAGAAATCTGGGTGAAGAAGAGCTTTAGCAGATGCAGGCTGAAGAAGACTGTGGGAATTAGTGTTAGAAGGGGTTTTTCTTTCGCTACTTCTCTTGCCAGAGAGGTACTTGGGCTGGGAAAATGATGAGGGCAGTTATGGAAAAGTGCTTAGAAGAAATACAACTTTGATCACAGAACTGTTGGTTTGTCACCTAGCAAAAAATAATCTGAACCTAAATTTACCATGATAAATAAGAAGTTGCCCCTCTTTAAAGCTTAGCATTCATTGGGAGAAATAGTTGGGTGAAGAGCAAAATAAAAGATACATAAAAAGAGTAGGGATCTGTATTGTTCTCAGAGGGGAAGGTGATTAAGACATGGAGGGATGATAGAGGAAGGGAAGAGATAAGGAATGTGAAAAAGGACTCGGGATGTTTCAAGGACCTGGTAAATGTAGTACCAACTCAACACAAGGATTGTAAACATTATGAACTGTAAACGTTTCCCCTGGCAAAAAGAGAAGAAAGCAATTCAAGAGCTGGGTGGAGAGGAGAGGTAGGGAAGAGAAAGAGGATGGAAAAGGGAATTAAAATGTATTATGTACACATATCAACTACACACAAGGAATGTGAATATCACATATTACACAAATGTATTAATAAACTTAAATTTAAAGAAAGAAATATTTGGATGAAGGGCATTTGCATCATTTGTTCTATGTTATCCAGCCCACTGAATAACTGACAAAATTCTAGGTGATGAGTTATGATATCATCTTTATCTTGTTGGAGCATCCCAGTCTACAGGGTAGACAGGCTCTTCCATGGTGCTTGCTGCTTTAGTGTGATCTTACAATATAACAGTTCTTCGGAGATTCCTGGGCTTTGTTCCAGGTTCTCCTTAAGAAGAGTCCAATGTGTTGACTCACATTTACTGTACAATGTCAGCAAACTGATTGAGTTCAGAACCATGAGTCAGAAGGCCAGAGTTCAGAGAATGGAAGCCCAAAGGACTGAGAGGGAATTAGGAAAGGAGCTTTGGAAAGCTCAAAGTGGGGAGAACCTATATAAGACAGATGAAAGAATTCTGTTTCTTTCATAAGGTTGCCTGTTTTTTCTTTTCTATTCTTTTTCTTCCCTTCCTTCCTAATCCTCATTTTTTCCTGTATAATGTGGATAATGGTGTTTCTCAAGATTACTTGATGGTATAAATGCAAGCACTTTGTAGGAAACTGAATACCAAGAAACTATGTGAAGTCTAGGCATGTCTGCAAAAAACAAAATTAAATATCTCTTTGTAACTTTCAAAAGATGATCGTATTAAGAAGTTTTCGCTTTTAGAAACAATTCTATCTAATAACGGTCTCTAGGCTTATAAAAGTTTGTACCAAATTTTATCTCTGAACACTAATAGTCTATAATTCTGAATCAGCTATGTTATCTGCTCCTCAAGCCTATGTACTTTATTAAAAGTTATCTTTATTGCTCCTGGAATTCAAAAAGCATGAGTAATTGAGCACTTCCGGGCTACAACAGCATTTATGAAGAATGAATGAAAAATGGTAACCATGGAATCGCAAAGTCTCACCTATAGCTTAGAAGATTTGAACAGTAAACATTAGTACCCAGGAGAGGAGAAATTGAATATAAGGAATTGTTAGCTGTTGAAGTCAGGAAAAGAGAAAATAATCAAATACCTTAAGTAGCAATCTCTATACTATATGAAATACTACTGTTGGAAAAATATAGAAAATTAGTCATTGGATCTGTGTTGAAGACTTTCTCTCCCTCCATCTGTCCTTCCTGACACCTACGGACTCATATCATCTACATGTTGATGACTGTCAATTTTTTTATTTTATAGAAGTTTTACAGTGAATTCAGATTCTCATTTTAATCTACATGAATAGGGTCTGAAATGCACATTTATTTAGAAATGGCTAAATTCAGATTTCTAAACTACCAAATTTTCTCCACTTTCAGTCTTTTCTTTCCAGTTGATAATAGTGCCATCTTTCCAAGTGTTCAGGCAAAATTTGAAGTCTTCTCAACTCTTACATTTTCTTCTTTCCTGCCTTACCCCACATATATCTAAATCATCAAGAAATCTTGTCTATGACACCCTCAAAATATATTCAGAATCATAAACATCCCTGTTTTAGTTACCATCACTTCTCACCTGTCCAAACTCCCTGCCTGGTCCTTCTGCACTTCTGTGAGGCCACAGTGTTTATACAGGATGAATGAGCCATAAACCCTCCTCCATATCCCTCTGCCTCAGTCACAGTGACCCCCGAACACGCATGGGAGCATGAGAAGTGAGCCCGTCTTCCCAGTGGTCTCTCCAGGTCCAGCTCCTATATTTTTCCTCCTCAGTCACCACTTTTTTTGTTGCCACATCAAGCAGCCTCTCACCTCCATGCTCTTCGGGTCCCGCAGGTTTCCAAGGGCCTCTTCCCCCACTCATCGCGGCCCCTGGCCAGGCGTCACATGCTCAGCAAGGTCTTCCTGACTCCCCCACAAACAGCAGTCCTCCCTTGATTGCAGCCACAACCCCCTCTGAATCGTCCTTATCTGATCTAACATACTCTGCAGCAATCTTGGTAAGAACCAATCTTGGTAAGAACTCGGCATTTTATTCATCTTTCCAAATTGTACTCCGTGAGGCTAAAGGCCTTTTCCCCTTTAATTCACTGTTCTCTCCTCCAGCACACCATGAGTATTTAGTAAATATTTACCTCATGTGACTCTAAGCGCTAATTTACAGGTGAGGAAAGTGAGGCTCTGGGATGACCTGAGTTTTTTGGTTTTTTTGGTGAGATCGGATTGAACCCTGTCCACGACTCCATCTCCCTCTGTCCCTCCAGCACTGACCACACTATCTCAGGCTGCTGCTTCTTTCCTGTAGCACTCAGAGTTCTATAATAGTCGATCATTATTAGTTTTTTACCTTCATGATTGGTACAGAAGAAACGCCCTTCCTCCTTACCTTTATGTGTTCAATTATTTGTCCATCTTCTGGCACATCAGGATCTATAGCAATGATGATGTCTTCATAGCCATTGTCCTTCAGCTGCACTAGGGACGCGTTTGAGCCCCCCAGCAGGTGCAGGACTAAGAGGGGAACGAGGGCTCTGAACAGCCCCATTGTTCGTCTCTAGATGTTCAAAAGGCTTTTCTTGTACCTTGTTTTTCTCCATGTATATATACTCCTAAAAATTATCTCTGCTGTTGATTATGGGATGGAGACTGTGTAAAGGTCAATGTTATTACACATACAGAAAAATATGTGACTTTAGCTTCCACAATATTTATTGCACATTATTGAAAAGTGTTCAAGCGGCATAATAGAAATGGAATATGTTTATCAAATGTACTGCACATTTTCTTCCTGATACTGTTTTATACTTCCTAATTTTCAATAATTCCCTAAATATAGGCATAAACTTTACAGTTTATAGAATGTAATGTGAACTTTATAGTTTATAGAATATAATGTGAACTTTATAGAATGTAACGTGAAAACTGAGCATTTCAGTTCATGAAGTATAAACCCGTTCAGTGTGCATCTTCCTATGTCCAAAATAAATTGAACAGATGTGATAATGATGTGGCTCAGTTTTGTAAAACAATTTAATTATTATCTAGGTCATTTTTTATCTAAATGATGGTATACAATCATAAGTATAAATACTTAAATGAGGTAAGATGTATTTAAACACAAAAATTTTAATGCCTGTGATAAACTTAAGATTTGATAAATTCAAATTTTTAAATTTTTAAAACTCCTGTTTAGTATGAATAGAATTTGTTTTATATCTATACACAACAAACACAACTGGTACTTTAGTGGTTACTGTAAAGGTAGCATGAATAACATTTATGGTTAACTGTTCATTTGTATTTACAAGGGCACAGGCTGTCTCACTCAATCCTTGCAGGTATGTGGTATATCATCTTCACTTGACATATGCAGAATCTGAGTCAAGCAGAGTTTAAAACTTGTCAAGATCATACAGATAGTGAGTGGCAGAATCACACTCTATATCTAGTTTTCTTATCCAGGGCTACGGATTTAATCATCTCATAAGAAAGAAGCATTGTTTTATGAGGCAAATAACGTAACCAGCTAAAAACTAGGAAAAAGAATTAGTGTAGGAGTTATGATGATAAATCAAGAATGTAGTGCTCTAAGGTAAAATTAACCAGGACACATGAGAACTCCACAGAGGATCCTGTCTCAAACAAATAATCCAATCAATAAAAATAGAATATAGCAACTGTCTTTAAGAATTCAGATGAGAAAACATAATTTTGAAATGTTGACCACATCCTAGGACAGTGTTTTATCGTAGGCGGTTACAGTCTGCTTTCTCAGGCTGCTTCACACAGCTTCCTTCACTCTCTCAGGAGCATCGCAGAGTAATTGTACTTTCAGAGACTGAATGGAGCGGTTGCACTGGAACCCCCGGGAAACTGAGATGACCTGGAGTAGGTGCAGGATGGGATATTAATAAACTTATATTTTATAATCTTGTTCTGGTTCCCTCATTGACCTCCCTCCCTGAGATTAGCTCTCTTTTCTACTTGTGTCCAATTAATAGGACGGGTAATTATGTTTGGACCTAGTGAGATAAGCATTTCCTTTTCAGACTGCATTTTTGAAGGGTGGAGGGAATGCATTCCTGAGTTCTCAAATGAAGGAGAAGCATTAGAATTCCTTATCACGGTCTTAGGTCAGACCATACTTATTACTTTTACTTCACCACTAATATGTGGACCATCTGCCTGATTTCTATGTCTGGTTGTAATCAGTTCCATACTCTGAAAGAGGAATGGCGGTGTTTTGTTTTTGAAAACTTAAAACCTCAATACGCTAAACTAGGAACAATGTGAAATCACATAGCATTTTACATTCTTTGGACACTGTTATTAAGGACTGCTCATCAGCCTCCCTCCCTCCCTGCATGTTTGTTTGTTTTCTTTCTTTCATTCATTTTCTTTCTTCTTATTGTGCTGTTTCCTCTTTTCTTCTCTTCTTCCTCATTCCTTCTTGGACTGTTAAGTTCTTAGAAATCGAAATACTTTCTATACTCCAAAGCATTACTTCACTCTTTCCTACTCTTCATCTCATCTTGCACACTCAAGCCCATTGGGGGAGGTAATTACGTCTATAAAGAGTTATATAGTCTGGCATAAACACAGGGATGTAGCTACCTCCCTACAAGTTCTCTGCATGGAGTTACAGTGTGGCTGATGATTTCATTTTCTGTCCCTGGCGGAGGACTGTGCTCTGTTCTACAAATTTCTTTAAAGTATTTATTGAATGATTCTGTTTTTAAGAATTTTTCCTCTACTGCTGGGTAATTTGTCAGCCTTTTTACAAATTTCTTAGCCAGCAGGATTTTTTGGCTCTGATTTACCTTCCTCATCTTGAAGCTGATGTATGTATAATATTACATTTTCTTTCCAAATTTTTCAAAAACTGATCATTACCTTTGGCAGCACGATCTTTTACTCGCTACTTAGAACTCATCACAATTTGGCTTTTACTTACCATTTCTAGTTGTATCTCCATACACTAATAATAAATCTTACCCTCTTGCCAAAGTGATATACTTAAGTTTTGTGAAAAGTTATATTTATTTTCCACTATTATATAATAGTTATATTATACATATTATATACTAACACACTCAGTTTTCTAATGCTGCTTGCTTCCTGATGAAGCCTTCCCTTAGCAATCTAGTCTCTCATTTCTCTTTTATTGACTTCTCTACCCTTTGTACCAGAAAAGAATTTTCCAAACAGGAAGTCCTCTAGACTTTGGTTTAAGAGTTGCTATTTTGAACAGTCATGTAACAGAGTTTTAGAATTTTCAGAACTTGTATCTAGAAGGAGTCTTAGAGATCATCACAAATTTAGAGTTGAGAATACTAATGTCCAAGTAAAACAAGTGCTTACTGGCAAAATCTGGACTGAAGAGACCTGAATTTTAGTCCATTGTGATCTCCTGCCATGACTTCCTACCAGCCAATGCTGAAACTTGTCCTCCAGAGTCTATTATCCTATTTATTTTTGTTATACTCTCTATATCCTGAGTTCAACATTTATTCTAAGTAGATGTGAGCATACCCAATATGACAGAAATATTTTAGCACATGATTATTAAAGAATTTCTTGGCTAGCAGTGGTCTCAGCTATTCTGCTGTCACTGCCTGGGACCCAGGGCGGTCCATGATTATTCTTCTTGTGATACATTCCACGCTGCACATACAGTCATCATCCCAGGCCTTTGGTGTAATGGACTTTGACAGACAGGTCCTGGCTTCCTAGGTATGAGTTTGCCAAGGTCAGCTGAAACAAAGTACCAATGACAGAGAAGTAGCATGTGAAGACATGTCCCAGGCTCAGTGTGACAACCTCAAGGGCCTCCTGCTGCTGTGTCCAAGGGGGAGTCTCTACTGAAGTCTTCTAACAAATTGTTAAGTAGATCATTCACAGAGTATCTATAATCTTAAATAGAAAACAGTTTGAAATGGTGACAAAAAGCTGTTGCTTCGACTTTCATAGACACAGAACTAAGGATTGATAGATCAGAATCTTATTCCCAAAAGATAAGTACCTATATATGGAGTTGCTGGAGGATATGTGACAGGGTTCAATCCTATTAAATTATACAGCTTGAAGGGATGAACAGTATCTTTGTGCAAATCTTTTAAAGCCCAAAATACATCACTGGAAAGCAGAGCCTAAGGGAGAGATACTCATGTCAACAGCAAACTCTCTTCACTGTATTTGGCCTCATCCCTCAACACACACACAAAAAGATGAAAAACAAGACAACAAAAGGCTCTCAAAGTCTTTTAACTCTCCCAAAAGCAGATGATCTAAGGGGTACTGGTTGAGAGGGAAAGCAAACACCAGTTAGCCTGGCTGTATGAAATGATTAAAAAAGAAGTTTAAAAAAATTCATGAGATAGAGCAATGAACAAATTGATCCATGTGGATCTGAGCGTAACAAACTTAAAAAATTAGAAAAGGTAATTAAAAATAGTTCAAAATATAGATGACAAATGAACCAACAAAGTGTCAAAGCAGAAAACCCAAAGATAGAATATTGTATTCATTAAGAGCAGGAATAACCAATGTGCAGACAGGGTTTCAGAAACTAAGGACAAAATGGAAATGCATGAAAATTTATTTAGAGAAGCCTTAAAAATGATAAGAGAACAAGAAAAATTCTTCCAACAGATACTAGATGATGCTAAGAAGACTAATCCTAAGAAATTAGAAGATAGCACACATATAATAAAAATTTGTTTACAGAGATCATTGCAGAAAACTTACCAAGTATGAAGAAAGATTTCAACATCCAGCCAAGCAAAACTTATAGAACATCAAATAACTAAGATGAAGAAAGAAACTCCCCATAACACACGATAGTCAAAATCCCAGATGTCCAACAAAACAGAATCTTAAAAGCTGTCAGAGAAAAGCAAAAAAATAGGTATAAATGCAAAACTTGGCCGTAATATCATCCCAGCTTAGCTGCGTCTCTGTTGCCACCTTGCCCCATTACACTCTTACCATTTTTCCCTGAGATCGTTCTTTGTAAGTTGGCTATACACAAATCCTTGTCTCAGAGGCTTCAGCTTTGATGCAACTTAACAAAAGGCATCATGTCTTAATTTATTAAGTAATATTTATTAAGCATTCATTGTGTGCCAAGCACTATGTGGCCTTGTTTATATATATTGATTCATTTTACCCCCATAACTCCATAAGTGGGCAGCATTTCTCATTTTACAAATGAGAGAACTGAGCCTTAACTGCTTGCTTGAAATCACACAGCCAGTAAACACCAAAACCAAATGTCTCTAAGTTACTTTCATAACCCTTATGCTACATTCCTCGAGGACACATCATTTTCCCTGGCAGAGATCCAATTCATGGTTGGTCTATGTTCCATCTGAGGAAGAATATTAAAAACAAATTATTAGTTTCAGTGCAAAACCTAATTCTCACATATTTTATAATTTGCTCCTCCTTATCCAGAAGATCTAAATTTCTATAGTTCTCGAAAAGTAGAATTATTTTCTGTAGGGAAAATATAATAGCTTGTATACTCTTTACACTAATCCTTTG